GAAGCTCATTAAACTAACAAGTTGACTCAAATAAATAGTAAATAAAGTAAAAAGAAAATTTAAATGAAAAATTGAAATAAATGCAAGCAAATCCGGAAGGTAAAAACCATTTTCTTTTTACAAGTATACAACAGAAATCAAAGGAAATACTACTACTACTACTACTACTACTACTATTACTACTACTACTACTACTAATAATAATAATAATAATGCTTCTTTTATTGACATGGCATTCCTCGAAGATTGTAGTGTATCTTTGAAGATCTTCAAAAACTATCAAAATAAAGGATCTTCAAATGGAAATCTAAAGAAAATGTGGCACGTGAGGACATCAATAATTCCAGTTGTAGTTGGAGCCCTCGGATTGATTGGAAAAGGTTCCGATAGACTCATTGAAGGCATTCCTGGTAGCCCGTGTCTTAAAGAAATGCAAAATGTTGTACAACTCACACATCTATCTATGTAAAATGTATGTGATCTTAGATTATATATATATGTATATATATATATATATATATATATATATATATATATATATTTTTTTTTACAAAAAATGATGAGTAGAAAATGTCATGAAGCCATTTCTGACCTAAGGTCTCTGGCTGTGTGTACAGCAGAAATGAAGGGAAATAATAATAATAATAATAATAATAATAATAATAATAATAATAATATAGCTTTGAAGATCTTCAGAACCTACCAAAATACAAGGATCTTCAACTGGAAATCTCAAAAATGTGACACATGAGGACATCAGTAATTCCAGTTGTAGTTGGAGCCCTCGGATTGATTGGAAAAGTTTCCGATAGACACATTTAAGTGATTTCTATTAACCCATCCCTTAAAGAAATACAAAAAATTGTACTCACTAGTAGAACTCACTGATTACGAAGAGCGTTATCTATGTAAAATGTGTGTGATCTTAGTTGTTTTTGTTTTTGTTTTTTAATAAAAATGATCAGTGTAAAATGTCATGAAGCCATTTCTGACCTTAGGTCTCTAGTTGGGGCCCGGAAGGACATGTGTTTACAACATAAATCCAAGAAACTACTACTGTTACTACTACTATTACTAGGGCTACTAGCTCAACCGGTATCAACGCAGAAAGGAAAATCGACTAGGCGAGTTCAAATTCCGGCCTAATCATTTACATTCATCTCGCACTAACACCTTTGGGGATAGTATGAATTCTTCTCTTCTCCCCACCAGGTATGGGTAAAACAGTGTGGTAGACTGGACTCTCTATCATTGGGTGGTAGTAGACTCAGCGAAGAATAACTTTGAATTCCAAATTTTAGAGAAAGCAACAAAAAACCAGTCTATTAAATTTCCTACGAAGTCATGGTAATTCAGAGATAATAAAAAAAATGGATTCTATGGCAAGACATGAACACTTACGTCGAGAAGGAGAATGGCTTTAAAAAATAACTTATGAAAGTGAAAAACTTGGTATTTGGAACAGGGCTTGAAGGGAAACAGAGAGTGGGGCATTGGTGTTTTCGTATCTGTTGACGGCAGGTTGGTGAAAAAGGTAACAGGGTGGGGAAGAAAGAATTTAAAATATTTATTTTTCTTGAGTTAATTAATGTCCTTACTAAGACCAGTGGTTAAAAATGACTTTTTGGGCGAGTGAAGCCTGTAGGTTTTGGCGAAGACCAAGCATCTTCAAACCTTGTGGACTGGCGCTACACAATCGCAAAGAACTGTACCAGATAACAGAAACCACATCACTTGAGGACTTTCAATAACGGCAACAACTATAATGGAGAGCATATCTAACTCGAAGAGAAAAAAATGACATTATCAAAATGCTGACGTTCCACACGACTTTAAACAAAAGGTTAGCAAGGAAACCACTATCAATACTGCAAAGAGCGATAACAGCTACTGGACTTGAGAGACATGTTTTCCTGAAAAATTGTTTTAAGAGAAAAAATTTATAAATTTCAATTGATGGCCGCAATTCGGTTAATGAATGTCGAATGTTTCCTTATAAGGAAAAGGCAAATATTACCATTTCAGCCTTGGAGAGCTTATAAACGTACAGTGATTGAAAATTACCCAAAAGCAGATAAAGAGAAATTGGAAAATTAATGTAGAACAGTGGTTAAATGTATGACAAAGACGACATTTTTGGTATATAATTCATACCGTTGTATATGACGCATCTTTTTTTATAGGACAAAGTTTAAAAAAAATCATATTTGAAAGTTTCCTATTGGTGAAAAATTCACATGATACTTTAGATATTACGATCTATTGTTTTAAACAAAATAAAAAACAAAATATCTCTCTATATCTCTGAGATGAGCATTATTTAGATTATTCGGACTATTGTCCTCATCTTTGTGGCCATATTACGTTTCGGCCGTTGTATGCTTCGGCCTTCTTCAGGTGGTTGGAATGTCGAAATGAACCATTTATTTGGCTCACTGGAGTAGACTGTTCTAGTTCCACGTGCCATGTTTAATGAATGTCAGTTGTCTCCTGTTAATTCCCCTCCATTGCCTTAACTGGATATTGAACTATCATAATACCTCATCTCAGAGTCTGTCTATATTTCTGAGATGAGGTATTATGTACACTATTTACATTATTCGGACTATTGTCCTCATCTTTGTCGCCATATTTATTACAACGTTTCGGCCTTTCAGTATCTGTCTATATTTCTGAGATGAGGTATTATGTACACTATTTACATTATTCAGACTATTGTCCTCATCTTTGTCGCCATATTTATTACAACGTTTCGGCCCTTCAGTATCTGTCTATATTTCTGAGATGAGGTATTATGTACACTATTTACATTATTCGGACTATTGTCCTCATCTTTGTCGCCATATTTATTACAACGTTTCGGCCTTTCAGTATCTGTCTATATTTCTGAGATGAGGTTATTATGTACACTATTTACATTATTCAGACTATTGTCCTCATCTTTGTCGCCATATTTATTACAACGTTTCAGTCTAGGTATCTGTCTATATTTCTGAGATGAGGTATTATGTACACTATTTACATTAATCGGACTATTGTCCTCATCTTTGTCGCCATATTTATAAAAAAAAACGTTACGGCCGTTGTACGCTCCGGCCTTCTCCAGGTGGTTGGAATGTCGAAAAGCTAATAACAACAACAAAAATTGCATTTTTGGGTCCTGTCATTGGATCTAACTAACGCCTTTATCCACTGTACCATGTGTTCTTAAGGACATCTGTGTATGAATTTCTGGGTATTATAAGCCTAATGTCTTCAGGACCATTTTTTACCAGTGCTCATATTGCAATTTTTGCTGTTATTATTGTATGTTTTTACCAGAGCTCATAATGCAATTTTTGTTGTTACTATCGCTTTTCTCTGGCACTCCTTATTACTGGTTCCCATATTGTATTGATAATAACAACAAAAATTGCATTATGCATTATGAAATTCGACATTCCAACCACCTGGAGAAGGCCGGAGCGTACAACGGCCGAAACATAATTTTTAAAACAATTGGCATGAAAATAGAAACGGGAGAAAAGAGATTGGGACGAGTTGGGTGAATTAAAGGGAGAGAAAACAAATGCGGAGGAACGAGAAAGAAAGAGAGAGAGAGAGAAAGAGAGAGAAAAAGAGAGAGAGAGAAAGAGAGAGAAAAGGCAGTGAAGGAAGTGATGAAAATGGCGGTTTTACGAGCAAGACAAGAAGGAAAGAAGAAATCGAAAAAGAAGGAAAGAAAAATGGGGATGATAAGAAAGGGTGATTAATATATAAATAAAGACAAAAGGAAAAAATAGAAAAGAAAGAGAAAAGAAAGACAAGAAATTTGAAAGAAAAAGAAAGACAAAAACGATGGAAAAAATAAAAAAGGAAAATTAATAAGTAGATAAATAAATAAATAAAGAAAAAAAGAAAAAAAAAAAAAAAAGAATATGGAATAAAAATTATGAAAAAGAAAGAAAAAAGATGAAAAAGAATGAGACAGAATAATGATAAAGAAAAGAAAAAAATTAAATATGGCGACAAAGATGAGGACAATAGTCCGAATAATGTAAATAATGTACATAATACCTCATCTCAGAAATATAGACAGATACTGAAAAGCCGAAACGTTGTAATAAATATGGCGACAAAGATGAGGACAATAGTCCGAATAATGTAAATAGCGTACATAATACCTCATCTCAGAAATATAAAAAGACTCTGAGGTGAGGTATCATGATTACATTGGAACTTCAGTTCCCGAATTTAATTCGTTCCTGAAGGCCGTTCGTAACCCGGAATGTTCGTAAACCGAAATTATTTTTCCAGTAGGAAAATATAGAGAAAAAAGTCACAGTACAATAAAATTGGGAAAAAAAAGCACAACATAACACACGAATGTATACAACATGGCGGTCGACTCAGAAATGATTCCGTTCAGGTAAACTCAGTTCGGCTATGTTGTTCGAGAACCGAAATTTTGTTCGATAAACGAGCCATTTTCATCTCGAATTTTCTGTTCGAAAACCGATTTGTTCGACATGTGAGACGTTCGAGAACTGAGGTTACACTGTACTTACATTATTTACATTATTCGGACTGTTATCCTCATCTTCATTGCCATATTCACAACGTTTCGGCTGTTGTACGCTCCCGCCTTCGTCAGGTGATTGGAATTTCGAACCGAACCCTTTATTTCGTCCACTGGGGTAGATTGTTCTAGTTCCACGCGCCATGCCTCTTCTGGATGTCTCAGTTATTTCCCTTTATCTCAACTCTCAAAGTTTTGGTTCACCACTGCCGTGGCCTGATATTGAACTAACAACTCTTTGAGTCTAGTCACTGGGTCTAACCAAAGTCTTTATCCATTGAGCAAAATTAGATAATATCATAAATAAAAAAGAAGGTTCACTTATTTAGTTTGGTTGAAAACCTACAAAATCCTTATTGCTATCACTATGACTAGGAAAGGAATCCGACTTTTTTTCTGCATTGGAACTCATTCGGTGTTGAGCGCCATTTTGTTTTTTATATCATTGATAAAAATCAATATAATATGCGATTGATAGATTATAAGAAATCGGTGTATACTCACGAGTATGGTGAGAGTATCTCATATGGAGGATATCACAGGCGTGTATATAATGATACAGGGTTTTCTCTATCAAATCTTGAGGTTCGTAGCCAGTTAATTGAGCAACCCTGTCGGAAGAAGAAAAAAAAGAAAATTTTGAACAGGAAGTGGATATTTGTCATAGTGACTACGCATGCCTAACAATTGTTTCATTTACATTGGCTTTAGAATGCTTACCTCAGCTCCTGCCCTTTGTATATATATAATAGTATATATATATAATATGTATATATATAATAACAACAACGGCGAGAATAGAAACATAATAACATTAATATTTTTTATAAAAATCAAATGAACGAAAATTATAAACAGGATGAAAGCAGAATTAAGAAAATTATTAAAAAAAATGCATAACACCAGTTGACAATAGTAAAAAAAATTAGAATAATTATTTATTACAAAAAATTAAAAAACTCTAACCTTATAGTTAAAAATAATAATTCACCTAAAACAAAATTAAATAGGTGAAATATTATTTACGAATTTACGAATGCCCATTAAGGAATTGTATTCCTGATCAATCAAAATTCGTAAATAATTATATAGGCCACACTACAACATGTTTGACACACAGACTCACTCTACACATTTCTGACCATAGCTCAATTAGATCTCATTTAAATATTCATGGAGACCTACAGGACACTATTCTTAACATACTTGTTGACAACACTAATATAATAGCATCATCTACATACAAAAAAAAAGGCTAAAAATAAGCCTTATTAATAAAAACAAAAAAACAACATTTAATAATATTAACTTTGAATATGTAAATAATATTTTGACCGTATTTTGAAAAATGAAAACATTTTATAAAACATTCATAAAACAAACTATTTCTTATTTAACAGTTAAAATATTTTAATCCTTGAAAATGGCTAAATGTATAGCCGAAAGCTCTCGGATAAAAAGAACATTCGGACACTTTTTATATAATTTATCATCTGAAAAGAAAAAAATATTAGATCGCAAAAGAAATTGTATAAAAAACAAAATAAAAGCACCTTTGTCTGTCGTATTCAATGAAATGTGCATGAAAGAAGGATTGCTGCCTAAATACATAATACATATATATATATATATATATATATATATATATATATATATGATTGGTAAACCACCTTCTGGTTGTCGAAGAATCTCCTAAAAACTGGAAGCTGTTAGCCATTTTCAAAACTGGTCTACTACCTCTATTCGGGACAGAATACCTCTGTCTTCCTGGAGGGTTTTATCATATGTTCAATCTTAATAATAAGGAAATTTAAGCCGTTACTGCATAAGAAATACTTAAAATTATAACTCTTTTTAATCTACCTTACTGGCTTGTGGTAATTTTAAGGTGGATTTTAAATTTCAGGTAACCCATTCTCTAAAAAATGGACTCTATGCACTAATGTAGTTAAGTAGTTTCAGCATGCGTAGCTTAGTATGATTTAACTAAACTAACAAAGGTATGAAATTTTGTAATTATTGAAACCAGAGGGTAAACTCAAGCCTATATAATTGTAGCAAGGAAGGACAGGCCCAATTGGCGTGTGTTTATTGCCACTTACGGCGGAAATAGCCGGCAAGCATTCGGTAGTGTCCGTTGGCAGCCCGAGATGAAACGAGGGTTTGTTTCATTTTGCAGCCGACAGGAAAAAGACAGTGGGCCCACGGAGTGGAAAAATTGTTCACGCAACAGTTTAAGTTTGTTAGAGGGTTGCGTTTGGCAGCCGTTCGTGTATTGGCGACTACAATACTTACTATCGGGCCGCCCGTCGCAATTAACACAGGCCAATCGCGCCGGCCCTTCCTTACAAAAAGTATACATGTATACATACATGCATATATATATATATATATATATATATATATATATATATATATATATATATATATACTACCAAAGAAAAGCGTCATCTAATGTTTCTTTCTTGAAGCTTTTATTTTACTTTAATTCCAAACTAATCGAGTGAATTTAATATTTCTAATCAGCAAAATACTTTTCTGTAGTTCAAAGTGAATTTAAATTGATTGGTAAAAACGCTAAAATCGCCCATATTGACAATTATGTCAACACAACGCAATTCTTTTTATGAAAATATCATTCAACAATGAAATATACTTTTCTGAAATTTTATTTGTGGAAGATGAGCTGATTTAAAGTTTAATCAATCTGATTTAAACTTTTCGTTTAAAATATCCCTAAAATAATTTTTAACACGGAGATGGATGTTCTTATGAAGTCTTGACACATTTATCGACAACCTGATGTATGGGTAATATATCTAGGGGAAATAAATGTAATAAAACTACACGAATACAACATAAACGCCTTCACACACACACAGACATATATATATATATATATATACACACTTTTTTTTAAATGTCATGTGTGGACGCCCATATTTACAAAAATCGAGATGTTTCTACACACAGGAAAGAAATTTAAAATAAGATAATAGGGGCCGTTGGAATGTAGTGAGCTTTTCCATTTATAATCGGTAAATACAGTTTTAATTTAATAAAAATATCACATGACCTCTAAAAATTAATATAGCAATTTAAAAGATTTAAAGGTTATTCTAATTAAAAAAAAGAAAACAATTCCTGTAAAAATCAATTATACACGAAAAACATTTATCTTAAGACAATATTACCCATAATTTATTTTATACATAAAGTCAATTAAACTTTTTTTAATTAAATAAAACCCTAGTTTTATTGACTTTTTATTTTACGATTCAGAGCAGATTTTCTTTAAATGCTTTTCCTATTTGATCAAAAAGATTTCATTATTTAAATTATCCAAAGACTTGTCCTTATCACTAATATACGCATTAAACAAAAATTTCTGGAAGTTTCATAAGATTAAGTAAATAGACGGTGACAGATATAAATCTCTCCTAAGATGTTCTAAAAAACAAATGTTTATAAAATATTTTCCTTCCTGAAAGTTTCATTATAATCCGATTATCAGAGTTTTGCAAGAATTTCCAAATCAGTGTCTTTTGCATCACAAAAATATAAAATTTTCCATACAAATTTATGTACAACGTTGATACACGAAGAAAACAAAATTTTAACCACAATTTCGAATATTCTGAAAAGGATTAAAAATATATTTACATAAAAGACTCCTTTGATCTTTACTCTTAATAATAACATAACTATTTTAACGCTAAAATTTTTTTATTAAGTTTTGGGAATTATTTTTATTATAGTATTGTCATTTTTGAGCGAATATTCGGAGGTTCAGAAACGTCCTGGCGAATGGAACGAACGATTACAAAAAGGTCCCTCAACAAAATGTAAAGTGACAAATTTGATATTTTATTAATCCTATCTATCTATCTATCTATCTATCTATTTATATATATATATATATATATATATATATATATATATATATATCCTAAGGATGATGTAATCCAGAGAGCGCAGTGTAAAAACAGAGCGAATATTAGTTAAATTAAAAAACAGACAACCTCAAGGATCTATAGATTATATTTTGTTTACACAGGAATGGGTCACATTTCCTTGCATGAAAGAAAATGGTTTAAAAATTTACCTGTTAATATTTTTATACAAGTTTTTGAGGGGTAGTTTTATGTAGATGTAAGGTGATAGAGAGAGGGGGAGGGCCGATTTGGTCGAAATTAGAGAGGGAAAGGAGAGGTAGGAATATGTTTTAATCTATCTATGTATTAAGATACGTAAGTGTAAGGGTGGTAAAGTAAGGTGCCAGAAATTTGTACATATTTAACAGGTCCTTTTACACGAAAAGGAAAGAAGACAAAGTAAAAAGTGAAGAAAAGAGGTAAGACATAATAAAAAAAGAAAGGGGTAGCAAGGAGAATATATATATATATATATATATATATATATATATATATATGTGATCCTTTCTTCACACAGAAATTATTATTCAAAAAAAAGAAACTAACAACTTCAAATTCAATTATTTAATTAAATTAAAAGCAGTAGTTCCCTTTCATTTTCAAGAAATAATTGAATTTGAAGTTGTTAGTTTCTTTTTGTGAAACATGGTATTTCCTGTGTAGTGAAGGAACCATATTTTTAAATTAGTTAATTTATAATATTCATGCTCTGTAAATTTACATTGAGCACTGCTTTTGTAAAACAAAATATCAATAAGAACACCAGATTATATATCTTACTTGTTCTTTCTTTTTTTATTATATATATATATATATATATATATATATATATATATATACGATAGGATTGGCGTATACGGAATAAATTCCAATAACTAACAAATACTATCCTTAAAAGAGTGTTGAATACATAGTAGAGCAAATATAATTTTATTCGAAATTTATCTACATTCAGCATCATCACTTGATAAGACACCAGAATTGTTGAAACAAAATGGCTATTTTTGTAGTGATTTTATAACATTTTTATGTTATAATTTTCAAATAAATAATTATATATATATATATATATATATATATATATATATATATATATATGTCAAAGGGCGACTTGGATCCAGAGCATGCAGTCGCGAATATTTTGTCATATACGGCCTATAATTTCGTCATTTACTGTTTGTCTGTCAATAACTTTACAAGTTACTTGCTACTTCAACGGCTGCATAAAGAAACGCGACCTCTATCGCAGAAAAAGTTGTTTCTGACTGTTTTTACGAAAAATGTAAGTAAATATGGTTTAATCTAGTTTACAGTTCACCAAATTAACAGTTTCTGTTTTAACAAGACGTAAGCATTTTATTGTAATTTAAAAAAAAAGTTTATATAAGTTTCTTGACATTTAATAAATTCTGACGGAAAAAATTCCGTCGACATTACTTTTTCAGTCATCAGTCAGTTCGCCATTTGCTGACACCTGGAGTCAAGCGACAAGAAACTTATTTAAACATTATTTTAAAAATTAAAATAAATGTCTACATCTCGTTAAAACAAAAACTGTTGATTTGATGAATTGTGATTAACATTAAACAAAAATTACTGACATTTTTTCTTAAAAAGCAGTCAAAGACTCTTTTAGAGCACAAAAAATCACCAATATTCTTAAGTGCCTATAATTGATATCAGAAGCCATTGGTTTATACCAAAGGCTTCCCATATTTAATACTTCCCGTTTTCACTCTCGCGTGGTTATGTGTGACATCATGAGCTGCGATTTTCGTTTCCAGCGTCTCTTATGCACGAGTTTGTCGTTGCTTGGAAATCTTCCATGTAAACAAAAATAGACTATTGTTTTGTCCGTGTATTGTTTAATATATTGTAATGTAATTGTCATCTTTGATAAGTATTATGTAAGCCGAAATTGTGATTTTCTTTCTTCTTTTAATGATAATGTTATTAAGCTTATCAGACGTTATGAAAAGAATTTACATAAAATAAATAGACAAAATTTGTATATATTATTTAATGAAACATGCATCTATATATATATATATATATATATATATATATATATATATATATAATGAAAGTGGAGTTCTTTCATTATTGTATTAGCTCTGTTCTTACACTGAGCTCTCTTTGAATTTATATACTTTTAGGAATATATATATATATATATATATATATATTCACACACACACACACACACACACACACACACACACACACACATATATATATATATATATATATATATATATATATATATATATATAGTCTGACCATTTCGTTTAGCACGAAACAGACTGTCGTATCTAGGTGTTGACTTCCATGTCCACTTACATTCCATAATCAACCTACTATATTAATAAAACAAGAAATAAATACAAGGAAGATATCTATATTTCTTAAAATTACCCTAATTTAAGAAAACTCCTGAAAATTCGAGAAAACAAATTGCCCTAAAACACACTAAAGTATAAATCTTTTAAGGTTCTGTCTGTGATACCGAAAAATGACATTGTTACGTTATTTTTCCAGAGAAAAGAAGGAAAATATATGACTCATCAATTGAAACCCAGACAGTTACGTTATCTGGCAAACGTCAGACCAACAGTGCCAACGGACCTCGGTGACGAAGAGGGGTAGCGAATTAGACTCGATACAGCGCCGCTTGATCACATATTCCGTGGTGGAACTCATCCGAGTTTCCCTTACCCATAGGACTGTACCCCCCACGAGCCACGACTACTATCCCCAAGCCGTCACATCCAATGCATTAGAAACCGGTTCAAGTAAGGATATACAAGTAATAGAAATATATATATATATATATATATACTAAACCATAAAAATAAACAAAAATGACAATTCCCGAGTACCTCTAAATCAAAAACAACCAACCAAAACTGAACAAAATTTATATTATTTTATTATTAAAAATTATTAAAAATGCATTTTAGTAACATTTAATGCCATTTTGCATTTTTACACTCTCTTATTAGCCCCTTACATTGTGGATGCTTGTTTACATAAAGAAAAATTGTAGCTACAATTTTAATTTTTTTTTTAATTTTTAATTTTAAAATAATTAAAACAGTGCTCATTCCGGTGTGTTTAAAAATGATCATCACAACGATCACAGTTACATCTTCGCACTTCACCCTGAAGATTATTTCGGAGGAGATCGAAAGTACTTGGGTTAACAAAAACTACGGTGCCTGCCTTGATGAATTTCAACTTAATATCAAGAAGACAATTAGGGAAGTATTACGGAAGCCAATTACCGAAGGAGTATTATAAAAGTAGACATATTATGTCTATATTATTCGATGAAACATTTGCTGCATATATATATATATATATATATATATATTATTTATGGTTTTCTATATTTATGGGTAAAGGTACTCATATTTAGGGATAAAACGTATGTAAATATAAAAGTGGACATGTACTTAGTAACGTAACACGGACTCGATGAATGATTTGTTTTGGCATTTATCTAACTTCATTGAGTATAAATAAAAAGTTCTGGCGTATGTGAACAATGCGTCAATCGTTAAGTCCGGTAATTCTTAAACTGAGAAACGTTCAATAGAATTTTTACTATATTTTTTTATACTCACCTAGCATCTAAAAAAATTAGTTTCAAATCGAGACTGGCCCGAAACATGAACATATTGTTAAACATTTTAATCTCAGTGACGGCGCTTGGAGGTAACGAGTGACCCACAGCCACTAATCCGACGTTTTGATAACACCCATCATACGGGGAAATGTCCATTGTGAACTGTTTGATTTTGAGATAACCGCTGCAGTGAATGACCTGCGAGAAAGAAAGTGGAAAAATAAATGAATAGATATTTCGAAGAGTATTACGTTTCTGCGACTATTAGAATAATAATAATAATAAAAGATTATTCACTTAGTATCAGTAAGAATAATGACTTCAGTATCTATATATACACTAGGTTTATGACATTTTTTTAACCCGATGTTCCTGTGCAATAAATTGATGAACAGAAGATAATGATTGACATTGTATTTAGATTTTTGAAGATCAAAGTTGACTGGGAAGGAAGAATCTGGAAAAGAGTTCCACAAGTGAGAAGAAACTATTGGTATAGAACTTACGGTTATGTCTAGCGTTTTCAACATTATTAAGAGAAACAATCAAAGAACTGGAATTAAGAAGACAAGATAACAATTGACATTGTATTTAGATTTTTGAAGATCAAAGTTGATTGGGAAGCCAGAAGCCGAAAGAGAGTCCACAAGTAAGTAGTGTGAGTGAAGAAACTGTTAGCATAGAACTTACGGTTAGTTCTAGCCATTTCAACTGTAAAATGATGAGACCTTGCAGCCAATCTAGTACTGCGCTTAAATTCATAAAGTCTACGTTCCGTAGAGGAAACTCATCAGAACAATAAGCACGAAATTATTTATAGAAAAGGCACAGGTAAGCTAGGTTACGGCGGTGAGAAGGTGACTGAAACGAGATGTCAGATCAGGACCAATAACATTGCAGCTTCTTCTTTAGATTTTATCAAGAATCTTTAAATAAATAGAACTGTTATTAAGTTATAATTGCAATACGTAAATCATCTGATATTGTAATAGACGCCATCTTGCATCAATTCAAACTTCTTGCGGTTGCAAATATCTTTGTGGAGGGGAGAAAAATAATTTCTATTCTATTTAATCGTTTTTTTTCTGTCTATGCTTTACGTATTTACAAGACAGATATGAGCCCAAGCGATTCTACTGATAGAAAAAAAAACGAGAAGACAATTTTTATAAGACCATGTATAACTGGCGCTACAGAATCAAAAAGAAAGATCTTTACCAAATAACAAAAAAACCACATCACTTCCAACAGCAACAACAACAAAATCGGTAGCATATGTAACTAGAAAAGAAAATGATGATATGAACAATCTGTTTAATTTCCTCATAATCAAGGTGTTAACATTTCACACCACTTCAAATGAAAGGTTAGGAAGGAAACCTCCATCAATACTGGAAAGAGTGATAACAGCTACTGGGCTTGAGAAGAAAAAATAATGACATAATCAAGATGTTGACATTCCACACTACTTCAAATAAAAGGTTAGGAAGGAAACCTCCATCAACACTGGAAAGAGTGATAACAGCTACTGGGCTTGAGAAGAGAAAATAATGACATAATAAAGATGTTGACATTCCACACGACTTCAAACAAAAGGTTTGAAAGGAAACTCCCATTAATATTGGAAATAGTGATAACAGCTACTGGGCTTGAAAAGAGATAATAATGACATAATCAAGATGTTGACATTCCACACGACTTTAAATAAAAAGTTAGGAAGGAAACCTCCATCAATGCTGGAAAGAGTGATAACAGCTACTGGGCTTGAGAAAGCTATTTTTCTTAAAAAAAAGTGTTTTAAGAGAAAGATTTTATAAATTAAAACTGAAAGTGGGCCTGACTGCTCGGTCAATGAATGCCAAATGTTTCCTTGTTGGGAAACGGTTAATATTACCATTACAATTATTAAAATAAATAAAATCTTTGAAAGTTAATATTCATTAATATTAGAAAGAACTATAACATTTAGTGAACTCCAGAAGTCTAATTTCGCGAACAACAATAAAATTTTACAAATATCAACCGACACTATCTAATCAGTCAGTGAATGGCGAATTTATTTAGCATTTTTACCATTTTATGAATTCTTTTCACGTCTTTTACATTGTATTTTTTAATACCAGTGTCGGTGTGTACTGCACCTGAAACCCCTTCCCCCCGACGGTGTGTGTTCGGGGAGGAGTACAAGACTGGGTGTCCCGGGCAGTGTTTTGTGACTCTCGCTATCTTATCAACATTGGCTTTTTATTTTAATTTGTAACGTATATAAATGGAGGTAGCTCCATTTATATACGTTACAAATTAAAATGAATACAACTAATTATTAAAGGATGAAACATTTTCACGTATTTTGACGTCAATCTGTTTTTTTCGTTCAAATCAGTGAATCTGTTTTGCTTATTTTAAGCGTAGAAAAACATTTATATTCACTATTTTTTATCCTTAATGTTGAATGTGTTAAAATTCTTCAACTTTTTAATAAAGTAAATAGTTGAGTTGTTCACTTATACTGCATATGATACATTATTGCACATAATTAGGTTACAACAAAATCTGTATTTTATATGAATACTGCCTTATGAAAATTGAGATGTAGTAGTAGTAGTAGTGTATGTGTGTGCATGTGCGTGTGTGTGTGAGTGTGAGTGTGAGTGTGTGTGTGGAGAGAGTGGAGGGAGGAGCTTGCACCGGCCCTGCTTACGACCACACGAACATACTGTTTTGATCGACTTTTTTAACCTTAGATCTTCCTTCCTTCCTTCCTTCCTTCCTTCCTTCCTTCCTTCCTTCCTTCCTTCCTTTCTTTCTTTCTCCGCTGTCTGTGTGTCGTCCATTAATGAACCTTAGTAATGCCATCTCAGCCAGAAGACCATTTCCCATTCCAAGCGGAGTAAAACCTCTCTGGGCTTCTTTCGCCTCAAGCTGTAGACCTCGAAAACCTCGAGCCAATCAACGGCGAGCCTTGTGGTAGGAGGGGTTCATCACGTGACACAAGAGATGGCATTCGTAGGCTGGATTGGAAATGTGGGAAAGGACTGATAGTTCGCACCGAACGGTCGAAAATTGGCATATTGGGTTCTACCAGCACGACACCAGCCACTCACGCCCCGAATAGACCAATGCATTTTGCCCCAAGGGGTCAAAATTATGGCGTCTGCTTCGATCAACTTCTACCTTTTCCCCTGGAAGCAATCAACCTATTGGTGATGATGGTGTTAACGTAATTGGTTATGAAAGGGGAAAAGATATTAATCTAATAATTATTAGACTGCGTAGATTTATAATAATTGCAACACAGACATACAAGACAAAGTCAACCGTTTCCATTATTCAGACCAGTATCTTCACCTTTGTTGTTTTATCCCTGATCTGTTTTTCAGCCTTCCTCACGTGTATTTTGCATCACTTGGTCTTCAGATGTCACTTTACACATTATTCAGACCAGTATCTTCATCTTTATTGCTTTTATCCCAACATTTCAGCTGATATGCTCTTCGGCCTTCCTCAGGTGTATGTTGCATCCAGTGGTACTAAGACGTCACTCTAAACATTCTTCAGACCAGTATCTCCGCCTTTGTTATTTTTGCCCAACATTCCAGCCGATATGTTCTTCAGCCTTTCTTGTTTTTTTTTTCTTTTTTTGTATTCAGTTGGGAATATTATTTAGGTACCTCTGAACGTGTCGTCAAGGATTCCAACAGACTGAGGCAATCCAGTTGTCAGCCTGAAAAGTATGTATTGAATAGAACAAGAATTATGCCAATTCTACCACCACAAACGCGAAACACCGGAAATAACATTTCCGATCTACGAAACCAGGGAAAGCCCAATATTCAGCGGAAAATCATTTTATTTTAGACAATTGTATCTGACCGCTATTGGAACGTTAACTTTGTTGTAAAGATTTGTCTGTTTTATATTGCTATTAAATTTGCTGCTGTTTATAAAATGCATTCGATACAAATATATACCGTAGTATCTCGAATCCTTGAATGTGAAGATACTATGAGACTTTGCTGAGCGGACCTTAGTTACAGTTTATGGGAGAGAGCGTATTAACTGGTTTATCGATCCTCTCTCGTTAAAGCTCAATCAAGTACAAGAAATGAACACAGCTACTAAAATGAAAAACACCGGGTTTCATATAAAAATATATAAAAACATCGAAGATTGATTATATCAAGCTTAACAGCCACCTCTTCTGCTTATAAAGGGCTAGCTGGCAGGACTT